GGCTAGCGCTCTGATGCCGTCCAGGGAGCCGCTCTGGGTGCTCTGTCAGCCGATCGGAAGGCATTATGGCAAGGATGATGAAGAGCCGCTCAGCTATGAGATCTACCACCGAACTAGGTCTTATTTTCGGGGTAGGTCTTACTTTCGGGGAAACACGGTAGTTCCTTTTGCGCCCGAGGCAAGAACAGAAAATTGTGCCCCCCAACAGACGTGTGTGGTATGTGACATCATGCGCCCCACCTCCAGGATGGTGGCGCGCATGCGCAGAATGCGCTGGTGGCCAAATCCAAAAAAAGCATAAAAATGTGTTTTGTTTAACGAAACCTAATGAAAACATTTTTTGTTCCCGTTCATTTTGTCCAAAACAAATGTTTAGTCTTTGCACATATCTAGTAATATGTGTGCATAAGTGTGTGTATAGGGGGAGTGTTTTTTTTGGGGGGGGGGATTACTGTTGGGTGGCTTGAGGGAAATATTAGGGGTCTAAACAGATCCCTGACATTTCCCTTTTGAAATAGAAAAAGAGATTGAGGACACCGAGTCCTCTGCCCATACAGGTGGGGGAGAGCAGCAGGGATCCAAGGAGAAACTGGAGCCTGTGCCGCTCTTCTTCTCCCTGCCGAGCCGCGGCTGTGATGGCCGACTGGCTCCCCTGTTGCCAATGGCACCCTGTGCTCACCATAGCAGCAGGGGCGAGGGGGCTCAGCCAGGCCGGCCCTGGCTGCGCCCCTACTGTGCTGCGTCTGAGGCGAGTGCCTCACTCGCCCCATAGTAGCTACGGCCCTGTCTCACACATACATACAATGCAGCCCTCCTCCCTTTCACACATATACAATAAAGTCCCCTTCCTAATACATACATACAATACATACATACAATACAGGCATCTGCCCCATTCTTCTTTACACATACATAAAATACAGTCCATCTGTCCCCCCTTCCACATATAGACAAGGCAGCCCCCCACCACAGTAACTTGCCACAGTCCTGAAAATGCAGCCATGGGTGGGCAAGGAACAGGAAGTATCCTTGTGTAGGTGTCGTGTTCAGAGGGGGATTGGTTAACTATGGGTGGCACAGTGAAAGCCGGCCTTCACTGTGCATGGCACCACATGATGGCACCCCCTCATGAAAACACTAGCACCCTAGCATCCTCCTGCCAACTTTATAGCTATTGCTCATTAGCATCTGTCTCTTCAATATTTTTTCATGTGCCCCTGAGATTCACTGCTCTATTCCATGTTACATCTGCCATGGATGTCACGTTTTTCCTTATTCTCTTGTGTTGACATCACACACAGCAAACCCTGGCAAGATAAGAACATCAGTGCAATAGAAAGACAAGCTGACCTGAAAATCTCATTATGGAATCTGAAATATTGAAATATTCAAATATATAAATGTAAGAAATAAGAAGTAGGGAAGAGAGAGGAATAGAAGAGTCATAGGAAGCAGGGTGAAATGGAAGAGGGCGCGGTAGGAGATTTGAAACAAGGTTTAGGGCTAGTTCACACCAGAACTGCATCAGAACTCCGTGCTCCTGCGCAACTGCAGTGCAATGCATTTTGTGTGTTTTTACTGCACTTGCATGTGTTTATGATGCATTTTGATGCGTTCCGTTGCAATCATGTGCAGCTAAAATGTGACAAGCAGGATTTTTTCTGACTGCATCAGAACTGACTGCACTGGTGTGAACAGAGCACCAGAAATCCCATTAGAAAGCAGTGTGATGCGATTTTGATGCAGCTGCCAAGCTGAATGGACTGCATCAGAACTGCATCTGGTGTGAACAAGCCCTTATGCAACTGTAATGAAGAAGTTTGTAAGGGAGAGTAAAAAAAAGATTTACTTGAATACCTGAATGCATTTTAAGGAATACAAATGATGTACAGTATATAGTTTGAAGTTATTTTTTTAAATAATTTGAACTGACTGCAGTGTTTTTGTCTCCTTTACAAGTATCTAACAATGTTCATTTTCTTTTTTAATTGTAGGTAGAGGATTAAAGGTGAGTGACAACTTCTCTACTTCTGATTTTGTCCTGTTCTCTGTTGACCCATTGGGTGGGCACTGACGAAATAAAACCAGTGCATGTACACTGGAGGTACAATATCTCAGCACTCAGCCAAGACTATGCACTGTACAGTACACCGCATGCGCTGCTACCAGTGTACAGTAAAAAAAAAAATTGCTTGGCAGTAAGTAAAAACGTTTTGTGGGCAGAAGTGGCTTGTAAAGTTTTTTCTACTAAAATACCCTACTTGCTGGCAATTTGTTTTCAAAGTTTAGTTCTGCTTTCATACAGCCCCTAACCCAAATTCTTATTCAATGGCACTTTTACTGAATGACAGTTGTATGACATTCATAACTGTTTGTCTTAAAAAAGACAAATAGGATACCTTTTATATTAAAATGTTTACTAGGGTTCCTTTTTTAAACAGGACTTCAGAATGCACACTGGGCAGTCAGTGTGCCTGAGAATGACTGTCAAATGCACCTTGTGATAGCTGTGAACCACTAGTAGCATTTGCGAACATTCAGCCCAATCAAGAAGGAGGAAGCTCCCCTTCTTCCCTTGTGAATGGGCTGAATGTTTCTAAACAAAGCAGAAAGAAGGATCGTGGCAGATAAGGTAACGGAGGGAGGTCTTAAAGTGCCACTGACCACCTATAAAGATGGGATTTTTTTTAAGGTGGGGGGGTTAAAGTAAAACAGTGCAAGTGACCACCGATGGTTGTGTGATTTTTTGGGGAGGGGCATTAAAGTGCCATTGACCACCAATGATTAGAGGATTATTTTAAAAGGTGCCCAACTGACCACCAATGATTGTAAAGAGGGTAAACAAATTAAAGGATAATGTAAGCAACCCTAGATCTTTTATCATATATATATATCACCGAATAAGCTCCATTAGTCTCAAAAATAATTATGGAAAATGAATTTGGGTACAGTGTTGCATGACCAAGTAGTTGTCAAACTATCACAGTAATTAAAAAATGGCCTGGTAATGATGGTACTGTTTGCTTAGTATATATTTATAGCACCAGTTAGATCATTTGTTGAATGTTTATTTTTTCTTCTTGCCTATTATGTATATTGGTGTATATTACATTTTAACTACAGTTCATTGCATTTCTTTTCATATCTTTTCATATAGGGTCAAAAGGGAGAGCCTGGGGATGTGCCTGCTGTAAGTTTTCTTTTTATAACGTGAATGCGCATGCATGGGAGCCTCCACACCCGCTGATTATCTGATGGAGGTACCCGTGCAGGGGGTAGGGGGAAGAGCTAAGGGGGGACCCACAAGAAAACATGGAACTGAAGTATTAAATAAAAACAAAAAAAACTAAGTTTGGCATAAATGCAGTCTTCCATTAGTAAAAAAATAAAATAATAAAAATAAAGGTTTAACTTTTACACTGATTTTGCAGCAAGTATCATTGCAGTAGAATTTTTGGTTTTGAATTTGACTTAATCTTAGATGTATCTATTTTACAATAGTAAAACTGATATATACAGAACTTTGCTGATGAATGTAGTGGCCCCTCATATTATATTTATTTTTGCAGCATTTTTTGTTTTTCTCAGAAGCCTTTAGCATGAAATAAGTGGGAAAGTTTTGTGCTGGAGTGGACAGCATATGGTTGGCTGCAGATGGATGTCTTCTGTGTCACAGCCAAGAAAATGCATCTGCCAAGCCAGATTCTAAGTAAATAGAACTACTGATTCCCAGGATTGCGCATTTGTTTAGGGAGTGCTATAACATGGTTTCCAACGGCAGCCATGTAACTTAGAAACACTCCTGGAGAGTTTCTATATGATCATTACCACTGCCAACCTAATTGCATGGATATCGCGTCATTAGTCGAAGAACACCATTTTCATGTCCATACATGTCTGTTTAGTTATTTTTCAGAGACTTCCTTTTATGCAGCCACAAAGCACATACTTTCCTTCTCTCAGATACATTTCACATATACAATAGAGTTGATTTACAAGCTATTAATCATGTTCCCATAGCATAATAAATGAGGTGAAGGTGTGCTCACTTTAAATACTTTAAAAATCATGTTTAGAATTAAAAATGTTTTTTTAATATTGCTTTTCTTTTTTATTTACTAAGGACCTATTCAAAATTTTTTTGTGTTGTTGAGGTGTCTAAGCACACACGTGCTAACAGGTGTCATGTCATGGACATGACCTATTTTTTCAATGCAGCACAGCAGAACGCATGGCATGTGCACTGGAGTGCTGATTCAAAACTGTTACACAGTGCGTTGCAGTCAAAATGAATGCCTTTGCAATGCACTGCATTCACATAACCCTGCATTGAGTTAGCACATGATAAAATGTTTCCACAATGCAAAAAGTTTTTAACCGAAGTAGCTAAACAAATTTGTTTTTTTTTCTGTCTAACATAACAGCATGCTGGGGACCCCTTTTGCCCTGTTTTGTTTATGACCCTGCCCATTTGCACCTTTGCCTTTTTCGCGAGTTGCAGAACGATTTGCTTTTATGAATTTCGCCCTCATACACCCGTGCATTTTAGGTGTTCTCAAATGGATGAATGCATTATTATAGCCAATGGTACTGGTCACATTTTTGCATTTTCCCCCCAGCATTTTTCAAAAGTCAAGCACTTTCATTTTCATTTTATCAACACTTGCATTTTCAGGCAATCTAAATATAGGAAAAACGCCTTCTTCCATGTAAAACACATGCAACAATGCTTGTAAAAAAAAAAGGGGGGGGGGTGTTTTGTTTTTAAACAAATGCATTTTAAATTGCACAGAGCAAACCATTGTTTAGTGATTACCCTCTATGGAAGAGGTCTTTATTTATTTGAATTTCTTAGTGTAGTTTATCTTTTTTGTTCTTCCCTTTCCTCCACTCACCTCTCATTCACTCCTCTTTCCTCCATTCCCTTTTCCCCTCTGCTTCACTCCCCTCTTCTTCCCCCTCCTCCACTCCCCTCTTTTCCCCTCTCATTCACTGCTCTTTCCTCCATTCCCTTTTCCTCTCTCCTTCACTCCCCTCTTCTTCCCCCTCCTCCACTCCCCTCTTTTCCCCTCTCATTCACTGCTCTTTCCTCCATTCCCTTTTCCTCTCTCCTTCACTCCCCTCTTCTTCCCCCTCCTCCACTCCCCTCTTTTCCCCTCTCCTCCACTCCCCTTCCCTCCATTCCCTTTTCCCCTCTTCTCCACTCCCCTCTTATTCCCCCTTCCACTCCCCTCTTCTTCCCTGCCCTCCACTCTCCTTTTCTCTGTACACATTTTTTGATTAGTTATCACTGTATAGATTCTTGAGTTGGTGATTATTACTATTTTGCTGATCGCTTAGTAATAATATCTGATATGTAACAAAGTTAATGTGCTGTCTCCTTCATCTTAGGTATCTGGGATACGTGGCCGGCCAGGACCTGCTGTAAGTTTTTCCTTTTAAGAGAAAAATAAAACAAACCTTAAGCCTACCTTTGTGTCGCAGACACGTATAGCCAAATCCAAATCCTAACATAATGGTTTATAAACCGATAAAATACAAGTTAAAGATTTAACATTTTGAATCAAGCTTGACTAGGTAAAAATAATTCATATAGGAAACTAGAACAAACAACGCAAGTAAGTCTGTAAGTACAGTGACTATAAGTAGATAAGAAATTGGGAACAGATAACCAGAAAGTGATCAAAGGGAACTAAATGTTCCCTGCTCAAGTCAAGGAACCAAAATCTGTTTAAACTTACTCATCTTTGCCATGAACTGCAGATGTAAAATGCTACACGTGGAGCCTGTTAATGCATTTGTTCTGAAAGTCTGCCAGGAAAGCACATCTGATCTTCACTCAGATGATATGTATAACCTGGAGGCTATTGATATTTAATTAAAAATAGACATTCTCAGCTCCACCCAAACCTAGAACATGTTGCCTCATTGGGCAGCTAAGGTGTTCCAACAAGATCTGAAGGCAGTATGTTTCTACCCAGGATAATATTTAAGCCTTGTGGCATTTCTAGCAGATGTGTAACAAGTTTCATAAAACATATGTTAATAAAGTAAACACTCATATCTATAAAATACATAATAAAATCATAATGACAACAATGATAAACAAGATTACTCTAGAATATAACAAATTGTGTTTTAATAATGGAACTTTCTTTGTGTAAAGAAAATGTGTTTCATTGCAATGCTGTTTATATTTAACAGGGACCTCCTGGATCACAAGGACTTAGAGGAGACAGAGGACCAAAGGGGAGACCTGTAAGCTGACATAATACATGAATACATATTTATTTTTGTTTTTTAAAATGCAGATATGCTGAACAATATCTAATTGCTCTCTTACCAAATTGAAAGTTTAATTTAGGGTGACCAAACAATCCTGATATTAGAAGACTTTTGTGTACATATAAATAAACATATTCATAGTTTTAAACGTTGCCTAAATGTGTCCTAAGACAGGCACAGCAGTGTGAGGCTTATTAAAAGTATTGCCTAATAAGCAGTGACGTACCGTGCCTTCTGTGCTGGGTGATGCATCTCCCAGCATGCTGAAGCTCCGCCCCTACCCTGTTGAAGCCCCGCCCCATCATGCGGAAGCCCCACCCCAGCTCTGTAACCAAGTTGTATGGGGAGGAGGAAGGGAGGAGACAGGGAGGAGCAAGATCAATGGCCTCAGTGGGTTTTGTTTTCTTTTTTTTTGATTGGACAGTTTGGACCAATGGCGCTTTGCAATTGGTCCAAGCCATCCACAGAGCTCACACCTCTAACACAGAGTAGAGGCTGTGACAGCTCTTGCCTCTTCAAGTTAGGTTACACAAGCAGTGGGGAAGCCCCCTGCTGTGTAACCTAACTACCTGTCAAAAGTCGGATGCAGCGCTGCCTGTAATTAACAGGCAGCGCTCCGTCCATGAACGGTTACACAGCGGGGAGGATGTCCCTGCTGTGTAACCTGTAACAAGCCGCACTGAATGGAGAAAAAGCTGCCAGCTTCAGACTTGAAGCTGACACCTTTTTTCTTCATAACACTAGGTGAGGCTCTGCCTCACCTGCCTCCACTGACCGCACGTCCCTATTAATAATTCATTTTCTTCTACATTCTCACTTAAAGCAGAATGGGGTGTCAGATCAGTGGGGTTTATGACTTACATTGGCTAAACATAAATCAGAGAGGGTTGTTAGTAATAGCTATACAAGCAATCACATTGGACCAAGTTTTCTGACCAAAAATGTCCATAATTAAATCCCTTGATAATTGGCTACGGGTCTCTTCACACCATATCATTGTGTGCAGTACCGTGCACTAGGTGCATTGTGTTATCATTCAATTGAATGACACCCTAATGCACCTCCTGTTGGCACTGCAATATTTCACAAATAAAAGTTTATCTCTTATTCACCCTTAGTTAACTTGAAATAGTTTTTTTTTTAAATTAACTCTTACATACCCTTCTTCTATTAGCTAGTTTTTGCAGTTTTTTTTGCCATGTAGGCCTTATACACATGGGCATAAGGCCTTAGGCAGCTATGTGAATAACCCTCTAAGTCCTAATGATGGGCATTTTTCAGTGTTTAATATAAAAAAGCAGTTCTGGCTGTAATATTCATCTCCTCCCTGGTGCAACCTCCTGCAGTACCTCTTCTTTATCACACGATGTTCTTAGTCTGAGCTGAGCCTGTAGTCTGAGCTGAGCCTGCAGTTGAGTTTTGACTATAGTTCTATCAACTTGGCAGCTGAAGTGCTGTTAAATACCCAATATAACCATAGATTTTCATGGTCCACATACATCTCTTCTAGTTGCCTGGCTTTCTAGTCTGTGGCCAAAATGGCAGCTTATGCTTCACAAGAGCTGATGCTGCAAGCATGCAGGATTCTTAGAAAAGAAGGGTTGATATCTGTTTCACATGGGCCATATTAAAGATCAGCCCAACAATAAAGATGTTTCATGTCCTTTCTCCCCATTTCCCTTCTCAAAGTATGCTTGTTAGTGTTACCTATAAAGCAGGGGTCTCAAAGTACTGGCCAGCAGGCCAACTCTGGCCTACAAATCGGTACTTTGTGGCACGCAGCCAGCTGACAAGTCAGGCACACAGTCACGGACCACTTACCTGACTTGCAGGAGCAGCTACACGGTTTGCAACTCTGTCGGATGCAGATCGCATAGCTGCTCCTGTCAGCTTGGGCAATCACTAGTTTCTTGTCAGAATGCTGACAACTCTGAGCTCCGGCCAAAAGGGTGGATTATTATGATCTGCACTAGACCTTACTAATCAACCACTGGATCACCAGGGACCGTGCCTCCTCACCTCCACCCTTAAAGAATGTAAGCAGGTGAGGGGGCTCGCGGGGGAAGGGGGAAAGTATTATTTTTTGTGTGTGGGGGAGGGTTGTAATGGGGGAGTGTATTACTGTATGTGTGTGGGGGGAACTTGGAACGAGGAGGGAGTGTATTCTTTTATGTGTGCAAAGGAGCTTGGAACAGGGGAGGTAATTATTGTATGTGTGATGTGTGCGGGGAGGCTTGGAACGAAGGAGTCTATTACTGCTCACTGTGTGCTTCAGCATGTGCTGACCATGCTCTGTAATTTTACGTGGCCTACCACTTTGTTGCTGTTGTTCCCAGTTGCTTCCACTTTGTTATAATACCACTAACAGTTGACCGTGGAATATTTAGTCCTGAGAGCGACCACTTCTTCAAATGTTTGTAGAAGCAGTCTATGTCTGCTTAAGTGCTTGATTTTATATATCTGTGGCCATGTAGGTGATTGGAACACCTTCATCCAATGATTTGGAGGGGTGCCCCAATACTTTTGGCAATATAGTGTATATCCTTTGCACAAAATTAATTGTAATTGAATTTTTGATTGCGTATAGACCCTTTAATTGTTTTGTTCTATAAACTATTGCTTGACAGAGTATGACAAGAGGACAGGAGATTGGAGTTCGGCTTTGGCTATTGCACAGAGAGAAAACCCAAATATTAAATGATACGATGGTTGAACCCCTATATTTAGCACTTAATTTCAGTCAGAATTCAACAGAACTATTAAGAGTATATTTTTACACATCAGAAAGTATGCCTAAGTCTTAAAAACCTCGTCTGATTACCAGTGTTGGTATGTGTAGTACATAAAACTAATACATTTTTTCTTTTGAAGCCATATGGATGGCTTCTGGAGACACTTGGCAAATGGTTTTGGCCCCTGCCAAGCAACTTTAGTAGCAATGGCGTAGCTGAGTGGCCCAGTACACATGTGCGCAGCCAGGGGGCAATGTTGTCAAGTATGGCTAAAACATTACTTGTAAAGTATGGGTCAGGGTTGGGTTGGGGCCACCTATTTATTAAATTGCCTGTAGGGAAAACAAAAAGAAGTGGGTAAACTGCTTGTATGATTCCAGCAGAACACAATGAGTTGAGAGTAGATGTATTTTGTATGATATGTATTTTGTTTAATACATAAAAGTTAGCAAGGATACCACTGTTGTTTCTGCTCATGAGAGCTAAATAGCCTCGATCTGTGTATAGAATCTGCTAAAAGAATGCTCAAAGCTTTATTAAATAACCCTACAGGCACAGCTAAAGAATGGGTGATTATAGCTAGTTTTATCCATTTGCATTTGCTTCCAATCAACACTGGATGTCAGTGCAGCTTCACAGGACTACTGAATGTTTATGAGCCCTTGGAAAAACATTTGATGGGAATAGTTTGATGATACTTTGATGCTATGATTAAAATCTACTTCTCTGTATTTATTGTGGCTCATCACAAAAATCATTGTCGGAGTAATGTTTCACAATAAGTTTTTTACAGGCAAACTAAACAAAAGAGTTGCAACATTAGGAACTCCATTCTTGATGCTTGTTTAGACAATTGCATGGAACTATATAACCTACACTTTTTTGTTTTTGTTAGCATAATAAAAAGAAAAATCATTATGATGAATAAGGAAAAACATATATTCAATACACAAATAATTACAGTGGTTACCTTCAGGAATTATAGGCCAGCTATCTAGTGGAGTCATTACCTTGGACCTCTTGGCAGGTTGTGAACTAGTTAAACAACCTTTAGACAGCCGTTAAAAGCTATGAACACCACATCACCACCAATGTAAGAGTTAGTATATATTACATAAAAACTTCAATAAATGGCATTAAAAAATACACAACCAACAAACATTTGTACAACATAAAAAATGGTGCTTACAATATTATCAATAAATTAAATACATCTGTGTACATATAAAAGTGAGAGCCATGCAGATATATTCTGTTTTAATAGGACTTACCAGTATTTTGTTACCTTTTACAACCAAAGGATCCACTTTCCACCAGTTATTACATCAATACTTTAAGCCCATGGGGTGCTGATCTCTTGCCCAGCAGATTTACAGGATAATTTACCACATTTTTGAACATTCATTTACTACCTCCACCAATTTTAGATTTTGCCAAGATTTAGTCTGAACACCAGCTATGGTAGATGGCCCACAAATACTGCCAGACTCATTTCACTGTATTTGTTGGTAATGGGACCTGGCAATATATGAGTCACCACTGAAGTCAAGTGCGCATGAAGCAGGATATGCCACCATCTCTCCCTTGTGGCAGCAGAGATTTATCTGCATACAAAATATTAATGCTGATAACTGTGAAGAGTGTTTGTAAGTGCCTAGGATGTCCTCTCTATGTATTAGCAAAGGCAAATACAAATTTATATACTTCCTTGTGCATTTTTTACTTCTTGCAAACTAGACATGTTTCCTTTTTCACTTACCTTGTCCTTTAGCCAATTGATTCTGTAAAGAAGCAGTCACATTAATGGCTTCCATAGAATAGATAAGTCAGGTAAACTCTTTTTCTTTATTAAAAAATGTATTTATGCTCATCATGGGGTCTAATTAAATGGTTGGTCTGGTTGCAGATGAAGAGACAACTATTTTAGGGATTTAAATATTTCTGGAACTTTAAACTGGCCTCTGCCTTGTTGCTTTGGGTTATCACACATACAAATTTATATTTTGTCTTTTCTAACTTTTAATATGAATATTAAAATGTTGCATTTACTTTCCCAAAGGGTTCTCGGGGTCCTGGTGGAATTGATGGAGAACCTGGTATTCCTGGACATCCTGGTGAACCTGGACCTCCTGGAAATCCCTCCATTATCTATATAAAAATGTATATATATTTATATATTTATAAACTAATAAAAAATACAAAAGAAAGGAAATGGAATGTGTAAAACAATTTTAGGAAATGGATGTGTGATGCTGTGATATTTGGACTGTAAAGGTAGCAATATCCAAAAAGGACAATTTGTTAATGAAGACTATGCTGAATATAACTTGCTATCAAAGATTCACTATAACAAAAAATATATTGCGATACATTGGTGAGGTTAATATATTTATGGATAGCATTTGATATTTGGTTCTCTTTTTAAATTATTCACGATGCAAAATAAAGTTCATATAGCATAAATCCATTTATTAAAATGACATAAAACAATATAAAAGCGGTTCCACTCAGCTACTGAAGTGTTGCTGTTCCACTGAGCTCCTCTATTGGATTTTTCAAAAATTTGACGAAACGCGTCTGTTCAAGCCATACCCAGTTGCAGTTGTTTTTAGTGCCGTGTGCACTTTTATTCTGTGAATGGAACCACTTTTATATTGTTATATAAAATGTATTTTGTAACATTTAACTGTAATTGCTATATGACATCTTATCCACCTGGTGAAAAGAGGAGAAATGTTCAGAGAGAAGAATCTGATTATAATGTAAAGGAGGTATTGTGGAGAACCAAATAAATTATCAATTGAGCTTTTTTCTCTGACTTACTTACTAATATAAAAGCTTTTGTTTTGGATATCGGTTGACTACCCTTAAAGCTCTAACCTACTGCTTATACTCCTCGTGACTATACTATAAAGTAGGGATGCACTGATATTTTTATATGCACTGAGTATTTCTTTTTTTTCCCCGTACTCGATGATACCAAATACTGATACCGGAAGTCCCATTAAGGAAGCCGAACGGCATGTAAGGACTTGCCGTCCGACTTCCTGATTAGCCAGGAAGCCGGGCGATGTGTAATGACTTGCTCTCCAACTTTCCGATTAGCTGGGAAGCCGTCTCCATGCTCCCTCGTCACCAGGTGACAAGGAAGCATGGAGCCGGCTTTCTTGCCAATCAGGAAGCCGGGGGGTTGGTAATGACTCGCCGCCTGGCTTCCGCTGATTGAAGCCGGGTGGTGAGCCATTACACGGGGCCCAGCTTCCTGATTGGCTAGGAAGCCGGCTCCATGCTACCTCGTTCCCAAGTGACAAGGAAGCATAGAGCCGTCATCACGAGTCATCACACGCCGTCCCGCTTGCTGATACTGGAATTTCCTTTATCAGGCTAGGCATCGCAGGGGCGGAACTACCGGCGGTGCAACCGGTGCGGGGGCCCAGGGCAGTTGAGGGGCCCACTGAGGTCCGGTCCCCAACGTCTTCCAGTCTGTAGGGAGGGACACCAGCAGTGGGACTGAGCCGGTGCCCTTTGAAAACGGCCGCTGCAGCGGCGATCACTCTTCTCATTTAGAAGAGAGAGCTGAGAACAGTGATCGCCGCTCTCGATCAGTGAAGCCGGCATACAGTAGTGACAGCACATTCTTCTCCTCCTCAGCCACAGAGCGGCCAAGGGAAGAAGGATCTGTACAGCTGTCACTTTCAGGGGCGTAGACAAGGGGGGGATAGGGGGGTTCAACCCCCCCAGAGTGTCCTAGCTGTGGCATAGCGAGGGGGGGGGGCAGAGGGGGGCACGTGCTCTGGGCTTTAAATCATTCAGAGACGGGCATGGAACAAGCCCGTCTAAAGGGATGCCGGGGATATCCTGTTTGCTAAAACATCGGTGACGATGTTTTTCAGTGACGCAGATGTTTTATCAAACAGGACATCCCCGGCATCCCTTCAGTCATGCAATTGCTTTGCCTGGCCCTGGATGCTCTGTATATGCCTCAGTGCGGGCTCTGCCTTTCCAGTGACCAGGAGCAGAAGGGCTGCAGGAGTCAGAGCGGGCAATCGAGGTATGTGCCTTAAGTCACAATGTTTTAACCCTCTGTAACTGATGGAATTGTTCTGCATTTATGTATAAAGTATTGCAGCAGTGCAGAATGGCATCAGCTATAGAGGACTACAACTCCCAGCAATACTTTATACAGAAATGCAGAATGGTAACGGCTATAGAGGACTACAACGTCCAGCAGAACTTTATACGGCAATGCAGAATTGCAAACGCTGATGGGAGTTGCAGTCCTCCATAGCCAAAGCCATTCTCCATTGCCGTATAAAGTATTGCTGGGAGTTGTAGTCCTCTATAGCAGTGGTCCACAACCTTTTTGGAAACAGGACCGGTTTAGCTGAAATTTTTTTTCCATGAAGCAAGAGGGCGGGGGTGGGGGGGGGATGTGAGGGGAGAGGTAGTTTGGGGATGTTTCAAGCGCATTTATTGTACACTTTATTTCTATTATTACACTGTAATATATAATGAGATTATTATACAAGTAAAGATATTGCAGAATCAGTGGGAGTCCTGAGCTTGTTTTTCTGCTCTCAGGTGGCCATTGCAGGCTTTCAGGTGGTCAGTTGGCCAGTATGGGCATTGTAAGACCCAGGGGGGCCGGAAAAAAAATATTGCACCAGGGCCCTTTGATCCTTAGGTCCGCCACTGAGGCATTGGGAGAATTTAGGCAAGTATTTGCCCAAATACTCTGTATCGACACCAAGTACAAGTATTGGTATCGGTGAATCCCTACTATAAATAAGTGATAAGAGAGTCAAAAACAATGGTTTGATGTTACATGCTAACCTCCATACCACAATTTTCACACAAACTATTTCATGTTTAAAATTTTATAGCATTATAGTTTGTTACAAATGTTAATTCATGAATACATTTTGCTTTTTTAACAGCCACTTCAGTCTCAGATGCAAGGAGGCTTTGATGAAAAATCTGGACTTGGCTCCCAAATAGGACTAATGCCTAGTTCATTGGTAAGATTAACCCAGTCAGTCAATGTTCACAAACATATTTATTCACTAGATTTAACTTTATAACTTTTCTTTATGTACCAAGAATAAAATAAACACTGGCACTTAGCAATGTGTACCAGCAGTAACATCCTTCCATAGTTAGATTGCAGATAAAGTAGAACTACTGTTAATTATTTTCAGTTTTCTGAAGTCCTTAGAAATGGTTATCACTGGAGGGCATAAACAGATGTGGTATCAAATCCTGCCCTTCTAATGAATCAACTTTAACCACCCATAGACAAGTGATGTCTTCGCACTTATCTTTCTTTATTGTGGTCTGCATTGGAGAGTGTAGTGACTAGCCCCCTAGAGAGCCCTAAACTAATTGTACAGTTTAGTTCAGCTCAGCCAATTTTTTTATTTCACTCTCT